CATTCCCCCATCCCAGCCCCGTACCAACCATTCCCCCATCCCAGCCCTGTACTAATCATTCCCCCATCCCAGCTCGAAGTGTACTACAGGCATTTTTGTTAGTTTAGGTTCCTTTACAATTGACAGCAAAATATTTCTGCTTCTCCCAAGGTGCTTCTGTCCAGCCCTTACATGCAGAGGAACCCCACCCTTCGGAGAGTCACATTGCTTGCCTACGGATCCCTGGTCCAGAGATACTGCACAACTCTCCGGGTTTGTCCAGATGAAGCTCTCCAGGTATGTGAGTACTGGAAGCATAAGCAATGGATTTTCACCTGGGATGAAGCAGTTGATAATTGGAGAAAAACTGGGAGCATTTGATAGAGAATGGGATGACAAAAGTTACATCCCAATCCTTTTTAGATATAAGGACTATCTTCAGTATGTTTAATCATCTCAGCTCCAGGACATCTCTGCGGGAGTTCCTCAGGGTAGTGTCCTAGGCCCAACCATCTTCAGCTGCTTCATCAATGACCTTCCCTCCATCATTAGGTCAGAAATGGGGATGTTCGCCGATGATTGCACAATGTTCAGCACCATTCGTGACTCCTCAAATACTGAAGCAGTCCGTATTCACATGCAACAAGATCTGGACAATATCCAGGCTTGGGCTGACAAGTTACAAGTGACATTCGCACCACCCAAATGCCAGGCTATAACCAACACCAATAAGAGACAATCTAACCACTTTCTCTTGACATTCAATGGTGTTACCATCACTGAATCCCCCACTATCAATATCCTGGGAGTTACTATTGACCAGAAACTCAACTGGACTCACCACATTAACAGAGTGGCTACACGAGCAGGCCAGAAGCTAGGAATACTGCGGCGAGTAATTCACCTCCTGACTCCTCAAAGCCTGTCCACTATCTACAAGGCACAAGTCACGAGTGTGATGGAATACTCCCCAGTTGCCTGGATGAGTGCAGACCCAACAATACTCAAGAAGCTTAACACCATCCAGGACATAGCAGCCAACTTGATTGGCACTACATCCACAAGCATCCACTCCCTCCACCACCGATGTTCATTCGCAGCAGTGTGTACTATCTACAAGATGCACTGCAGAAATTCACCAAAGATCCTCAGACAGCACCTTCCAAACCCACAACCACTTCCATCTCGAAGGACAAGGGTAGCAGATATATGGGAACACTACGAACTTCAAGTTCTCCTCCAAGTCACTCACCATCCTGACTTAAAAGATATCGCCGTTCCTTCACTGTCGCTGGGTCAAAATCCTGGAATTCCCTCCCTAATAGCATTGTGGGCTAACCCACAGCAGGTGGACTGCAGCGGTTCAAGAAGGCAGCTCACCACCACCTTCTCAAAGGGGACTAGGGATGGGCAAGGAATGCTGGCCAGCCAGCGACGCCCACATCCCACAAATGAATAGAGAAAACAAAACACAGTTACTTATATTGAGTGGAAAATTGACAACCACAAATCAGCGTCAGTTTCACAATCACTGGTTACAAGTACCCTGTTTATTTCACTCAGAAACAGCTGTATGTGTGCACCAGCACACTTTGCATTAAGGTGCACCATGTGCATGGACAAACTTCAGCAATACCACTTTGTTATTGTTGACTTACCGTTTGGATAGTTCCCATTGGTTCAGATCCTACAATGAAGTAGGTCTCTGCTTTATTGTTGGCTGATGTTGCATGGACTGTTTCTCTCCAGTTGTAATTTGCCATTGTCTTCCCTTCCTGGAGTAGGGCAGTAAAAGAGGCAAATCTTCCCAACATTTACCTCAGCCTGACCAGGAAACAACCCACTTAATTTATTCATGGGATGTGGCACTGCAGGCTGGTGAGGATTTATTGCCTTGGAATTGAGTGGCTTGCCAGAACGTTCCAGAAAGCAGTTGAGAGTCAACCACACATTGTTGTGGGTCTGGAGTTACATGTAGGCCAGACCGGATGAAGATGACAGATTTCCTTCCCTGAAGGACATTAGTGAACCAGATGGGTTTTTTCAACAATCGTCAGTGGATTCATGGTCACTCATAGGTTCTTAATTCCAGATATTTATTGAATTCAAATTCCACCACCTGCCATGGCAGGATTTGAACCCAGGTCTCCAGAACATTAGCTGAATTTCTGGATTAATAGTCCAGCAATAACACCACTAGGCCATAGCTGTCCTGATAAATGGTGTTAGCAAAACTACATCTAAAGGAGAAGTGAGTAAAACTTGGAAACGAAGGGTCTGTTCCAAACTCATATTGCACATCTGAAAATGGATCTCCAGGACTGTTATTTTTGGCTGACTGGTTTGGTGCTAGCCAGTCCCCCCTTATTGTTCCCTTCTCAACAGTGCAATCACACCAACATACAAACAAGGAGTAAAAGTCGGCCATTCAGCCCCTTGAGCAAGCTACACCCTTCAATTTGATCATGGTTGATCTGATTGTAACCTCAAATCTACATCCCTGCCTCCCCCTGTTAATCTTTCACCCCACCACTACCCTTCTTTACTAAGAATCTATCCACCTCCACCTTACAATATTCAGACACTGTTTCCACCACCGCATCAGGAAGAGAGTTCCAAAGACGCTACATTCTGAGAGAAAAAGAAAATCCTCATCTCTGTTTTGAATTGGAGAAATTCTGATTTTTAAACAGTGACCCCTAGTTCTACATTCTCCTGTAAGAGAAAACATCCTCTCCACATCCACCCTGTTAGGATCCTCAAGATCTTGTATGCTTCAATCAAGTTGCCTCCAGCTCCACCAGACTCCAGTAGATACAAGCCCAGCCTGTCCCACATTCCGTCATGAGACAACCTGCCCATTCCAGACATTGACAAAAACAGTAAGTTGCTGGAGAGACTCAGCAGGTCTGCAGCATGTATGGAGACAAAAAAGCAGAGTTAACCAATCATGTCCAGCGACACTTCTTCTAAACTCATTATTTTATTTCATTCCGGATATTAGTCTGGTAAATATTCTCTGGAGCGCCTTCAACACCTTTACATCCTGACTAAAATAAGGAGAACAGTACTGTAGACATTACTCCAGATTTGGTCTGTTGTATTGTGGCGTTGCATTGTCGAGATGTTGCATTGCACAATACACCTCATTTGGTTTATTCGAGAATAACTAGTAATATTTTTGAGAATGGTAAGGTACTTCAGGAGCACTGTTGCATTATAATGGCCATCACATACAACTGTGATGCTAGAAATTTTAAGACGATAGGAACAGGAGGAGGACGTTCATCCTCTTGAGTCATTCAGTGACATTGTGGCTGCACTGAATATTGATGCTAACAACCTGTCTCAGTTCCAAAACTGTATTTAAAAATCCATTTAATCCATGGAATTTTCCGCTGTCTCCTCAGCATTTTTGGAAATAGAGTCCCAGATTTCACCTATCCTTTGTGCGTTGAAGTGTTTCTTACATCATCCCTGAACATCGCATCTTTAATTTTAATTTTATGCTCCTCCGTTCAGAGATCTTACCCACCAGAGCATCAAGATATCTGCACTATCAACCTTTTTAATCATCTGAACTCAAGTCTTTTTTTTATTCATGCATAGGAAGTAGGCATCGCTGGCTAGGCCAGCATTCATTGCCCACCCTAATTGCCCAGGGGGCAATTGAGAGTCAACTACATCAATGTGGGTCTGAAGTCACATGTAGGCCAGACCAGGTGAGGATGGCAGATTCCCTTCCCTGAAGGACATTAGTGAACCACATGGGTTTTTATGACAATTAACAATGGTTTCATGGCTGTCAGTAAATTCTTAATTCCAGACCTATTTTTTTTTAATTGAATTCAAATTCCACCATCTGCCGTAGTGGGATTTGAATCAAGGTACGAGAACATGAAGGGTCTAGGCCCGAAACGTCAGCCTTCCTGCTCCTCTGATGCTGCTTGGCTTGCTGTGTTCGGCCAGCTCTAAGAGAGCATGAGCTGAGTTTCTAAATTAATTGTCTAGTGATGGCCTCCCCAATAGTACAGTAAGTCATTTACCTGTCTTCAATAGACAAGCTTAAATTGTTAAATTTTAGACAAACTGAGTCTAAGTGTTTTGTCCTCGGCATTGTTAGTGACGTTCTTTGTTCTGTACATTGATGTTGTGTCCTTAACAGCCACTCCATGAGCTTGTGGTTGAAGCAGGCAGCAAAGGCCATGAAGAGGAAATCATCCTTGGCCTCAAAGCCATTGGCAACGCAGGGCAGCTTGCCAGCCTGAAGCGGATCCAGAAATTCCTGCCCGGATTTGGGAATGTCGCCAGCGGTGTCTCAAGCAGAGTCCATGCAGAGGCCGTGATGGCACTGCGCAACATTGCTAAGAAAGAGCCACGCAAGGTGAGAGAGGACGGTGAATGTGCTCCTGGGTGGGATTTTTCTCAATGGGAACAGACTGGCAAATGATGATAAGACAAGGCAAATGAGGAATTTAAGGTCAACAACACTCAGGTAACCCAAACCCCTATCACAGCACCATGGACAGAGTAGTAGAGTTAACATTTCAGGTTCTGTGCATCTTTATCAGTGCTGCAAAATGTAACTACTGCAAGAGCCCTCCAATCCTCTGTGATACAAAACAGAGAGAATGCTTGGAAAACTCAGCACCTGTAATGAAAAACAAACAGAGAGAACACTCGGGAAGCTCAGCAGGTCTGGCAGCATCTGGGGAGAAAAAGAAAATGTTAACTCTTCAAGTCCAGTTATGACTCTTGTTCAGAACAGTGAAGAATACTCAGAAAGCACAACAGTTCTGGAGAAGAGATCAGTGCTGGGTCCACTGTTGCCTTTCATTTGTATAAACAATTTTGAAGAGAATTTAGGTTTGTAAGTTTGCAAATGACACCAAAATTGTTGGTATTGTGGACAGTGAAGGTTATCTAAGATTACCTTAGGGTAATAAGGGTGCAAGTCCATAACTCCCTGGAAGTAGCCACGGAAATAGATAGGGTGATAAAGAAGGCGTATGGCATGCTTGCCTTTATTGGTGTTGGAATTGAGTACAAGAGTCAAGATGTCACGTTGCACCTTTATAAGACATTGGTTTGGTCACAATTTAGAGCACTGTGTTCAATTCCAGTCGCCACATTACAGGAAGGATGTGGAGGCTTTGGAGAGGATGCAGAAGAGGTTTACCAGGATGCTGAGATAGTAGGAACTGCCGATGCTGGAGAATCTGAGATAATAAGGTGTAGAGCTGGATGAACATGGCAGGCCAGGCAGCATCAGAGGAGCAGGAAAGATGATGTTTCGGGTCTGGACCCTTCTTCAGAAAAGGGCCTTCTGAAGAAGGGCCCAGACCCGAAACATCAGCTTTCCTGCTCCTCTGAAGCTGCTTGGCCTGCTGTATTTATCCAGCTCTACACCTTGTTACCAGGATGCAGCCTGGATTAGAGGCTATGAGCTCTAAGGACTATGAGCTAGAAAAACTTGGGTTGTTTTCTCTTGAGCAGCGGGGGCTGAGGGGAGACTTGATAAAAGTCTATAAAATTATGAGATGCATAGATAGCGTTGACAGTCAGAATTCTTTTCCCAGAGTTGAAATGTCCATACTAGGGGGCATGCATTTAAGGTGAGAGGAGGGAAAGCTCAAAGGAGACATGAGGGGCAAGTGTTTTTACACAGAGAGTGGTAGGAGTCTGGAACAGACTGCCAAGTTGGTGGTGGAGGCAGGTATGATAGGGGCATTTAAGAGACTTTTAGATAAGCACATGAATATGTAAGGAATGGAGGGATATGGAGCAATGGCAGGCAGAAGGGAATTGTTTCATTTGGCGTCATGTTTGGCACAACATTGTGGGCCCAAGGGCCCGTTCTTGTGCTGTACTGTTCTATGTTCTATGTCCTATTTCAAAGGGGTCTTGATCAATTCGGCCAGTGGGCCGAGGTGTGGCAGATGGAATTCCGTTTGGATAAATGCTAGGTTTTGCATTTTGGTAAGATGAATAAAGTGAGGACTTATGCAGTTAATTATAGGACCCTGCGAAGTGATGTTGAACAGAGAGACAGAGGGGTTCAGGTCGATAGTTGTTTGAAAGTTGTGTCACAGGTAGACAGGGTGGTAAAGAAGGCATTTGGTTGGTGCAGACATTTGGCATGGTGCAGACCAATGAGTATAGGAGTTGGGACATCATGTTGAAGTTGTACAGGACGTTGGTGAGGTCATTTTTGGAGCACTGAGTACAGTTCTGGTCACTCTGCTATAGAAAAGATATTATTAAATTGGAGAAGGTGCAGAAAAGATTTACAAGGATGTTACCAGGACTGGAGGGTTTGAGTTATAAGGAGGTGCTGGATAGGCTGGGACTTTTTTCCACTGGAACAAAGGATGTTGAGTGGTGACCTTATGGAGGTTTATAAAATCATGAAGGGCATAAATAAGGTGAATAGCAAATGTATTTTCCCCAGGGCTCAAAGCTTGAGGGTATATCTTTAAGGAGGAGAAAGATTTAAAAGGGTCCTGAAGGGCAATTTTTTCACACAGACAAGTATTTCGTGTGTGGAATGAACTGCCAGGGGAAGTGATAGATGCAGGTACAGTCACAACATTTAAGAGACATTTGGACAAGCACATGAATGGGAAAGATTTAGAGGGATATGGGCCAAATGCAGACAAATGGAACTAGTTTAGTTTGGGAAACTTGGTCAGCATAGACGAGCCGGACCAAAGGGTCTGTTTCTGCTCTGCATGTCTCTATGATTCTATAACTCTTCAGAGTCATAGTGGACTCAGAATGTTAATACTGTTTCTCTCTCCACTGACACTGGCCAGAGCTGCTAAATTTCTCCAGTGTTCTCTTTGCTTCAGATTTCCAGCTTGTGCAGTATTTTCCTGGCATCGATTGAACTCAGCAGCTGATGCAAAGTACGCAAAAAAGATCCAATCTCCGACTTCAATATGTCCAACTTCAGCAATGCACTGCCTCAGGGTGCCGGGTCTGAGCCACAATTACAGCTCCAGGCTAAAACCTTTGTACTAAAGGGAGCAAAGCCCAAGCTTTGTAAACCTTTCTCCGATAAACGCAATGCTCTGTTGCCTGAGGTCATGTTGTAGCCTTCCCTGCACGGACAGTATGCTGCACGGGGGTGTCAGGCGAGATACTAAATAGAGACCCCTGTGCCCTCTCGGGTGCATTTAAAGGACACTGTGTCATAACTTCAATAAAGAACAGGGGTGTTCCTTGCTTTTCCTGGTCAATATCTTTCCCTCAAACAGAACCACTTTGAAAAGAATGGTAATTTCATTGCTGCTTGTGGGATCTTGCTGTACATAAAATATGCATATTCATTCTGTTACGACAATGACCCACTTCAGAAAGCACTAAATTTAGCTGTGAAGTGCTTTGGTGCATCCTGTTGAGGGAAAGGCACTATATAAATGCAACGAGCTCTAAGGACAGTCTAGAAAATCTTGGGTTGTTTTGCCTGGAGTGGCTCAGGCTGAGGGGAGATTTGATAGAAGTCTATAAAATTATGAGATGCGTAGATAGGGTTGATGGTCAGAATCTTTTTTCCAGAGTTGAAATATCCAATACAAGGGGCATGCATTTAAGGTGAGAAGAGGGAAAGTTCAAAGGAAATGTGAGGGGCAAGTTTTTTACACAGAGAGTGGTAGGAGTCTGGAAAGCACTGCCAGGTGTGGTGGTTGAGGCAGATGCATTAGGAGCATTTAAGGGACCTTTAGATAAGCACATGAATATGCAAGGGATGGAGGGATATGGATCAAGGGCAGGCAGAAGGGATTAGTTTAATTCAGCATCATGTTTGGCACAGCATTGTGGGCCGAAGGACCAGTTCCTGTGCTCTATGTTCTATTCTCTCTGTTCTGAGTCTTTGTGTCTCTTTCCATCTGTTTGATCAAGATTGCAAATGAGCTAAATCCTGCTCCTACATTCAAAGCTCCTGTACAGCAGACCTAACTCTGCTACAATCTCTTGTGCAGGTTCAAGCCCTCACTATTCAGTTATTCATGAACAGAAAGGTCCATGCTGAACTACGAATGAGAGCTTTTATTGTCTTGCTGGAAACCAAACCATCCTTGGCTTTAATTGCAACAATGACTGACTCGCTGATCAGAGATACCAACTTGCAATTGGCCAGTTTTAGTTATTCCTACATGAAATCTCTGGCAGGATCATCGCTCCTCCATCTCCAGTCACTGTGAGTATGCAGAAATCATGAAGCAGTGAGCAGCAAGCTGGTCAGCTAAAATAAGAGCTTCATTGCTTACCCAGCTACTTTTTCACAGGGCTGCAAGTTGTAACATTGCCATCAAACGTTTGAACGAAAAGTGCGATAGGCTCAGTTATCGGAACAGCAAAGGTTTACATTTCGGAACATTTAACGGTAAGGAGGGGCTACAATCTGTTGCTTCCTAACTTTTTCCCTTTCTCAGGAATGACTTAGCTGAAAAAGATGGAAGAAATAAATCGTAATCCAAGCTAAAAGCCCCAGGTCAAAGTGTGCCACATGGTTTGAGGTGCCATCTTTCAAATGAGCCTCTCAACTGAGGTCCCTGCCCTCTCAGGTCAATATGAAAAACTCATGGCTTTATCTTAAGAAGTGCAGGAAAGGTTGCTCCTGTGTTCTGGCAATTATTTGTCCCTGACCTAATATGACAACTTGAGCAGATGATCCTATTATTACCATATTGCTCTCTATGGGACCTTGCTGTGCGGACATTATTTGCCGTAGTTGCCCTGCTTTCTACAACAAGTTCCTGCATTGCAATGCTTCAAAACATGATCTCACTGTCTAAAGGGAAATTGTTGAAAGCTATTACTAAAAAAAAAATCTATCTGGGCATTTGGATAGTTCAAAGTCATCAGGCAAAGTCAACATGGTTTTGTGAAAGGGAAATGTATTGCAGTTCTTTGATGAGGGGGCGTGCGCTGTGAATAAAGGGTCCCTGGTGGATGTAGTGTACTTAGTTTTCCAGAAGGCATTTGATAATGTGCCACATCGAAGGTTATTGCGAAAAATATAAGGTCATGGTAGAAGAACAGCATATTGACTTGGTTAAAAGACTGGCTAGCTAACAGGAAGAAAAGAATAGGTCGAAATGGGTCTTTTCCAGATTGGCAAGATGCAACAGGTCATGTGCCACAGGGATCAGTGTTGCGATCTTAACTTGCAATTTGTATAAATGAAGAGATGGAAAGTATGGCAGCTAAATTTGCTGATAACACAAAAGTAGATAGAAAAGTGATTTTCATTGAGTATATTTAAAACAGAGATAGATAGGTCCTTGATTGTCAAGGGGATCAAGGGTTACAGGGAGGAAGCAGGAGAATGAGGTTGAGGAACTTATCAGCCATGATTGAATGGCGGAGCAGACTCAATGGGCCGAATGGCCTAATTTCTGCTCCTATTTTGATAAAAGTGATATGTGAAGAGGATATAAGAAGCTAAAAGAAGACATGTAGATAGGCTACATGAGTGCACAATAGATATGGCAAATGGAATGTAATGCGGGAAAATGTGAAATTCTTCACCTTGTCAGGAAGAGTGAAAAGCATCGTTTAAGCTAACTGGTGATAGATTAGAGTTCTGAAGTTTAGAGGGATCTGTGTCCTCTCATGTATACATTATAAAAGTTGGTATGCAGATACAGCAAGTAATTAGGAAAGCTATCACAGAATTGTTACAGCTTAGAAGGAGACTATTCAGTCCATCATGCCTGCACTGGTTTTATTCCTTGGTGCCAATCTCCTGCCTTTTCCCTATCTCCCTGCCCACCATTTCTATCTAAATAATCATCCAATTCCCTCTTGAATGCCTGAATTGAATCTGCCTCTACCAAATTTCCGAGTCGCACGTTCCAAATCCTAAGTACTCGCTTTGTGAAAACAATTTTTCTCACATCACCTTTGCTTCAGTTGCAGCTCATTTTAAATCTAGCCCTCTCTCTACCCTTTCAATGATCTGTGCATGCATGAACCCGGGTCCCTCTGCCCCTGCACCCTGTTAAGAATTGGGTCCATTATTTTATATTGTTTTCAATGTTCTTCCCACCATCACCTCAAATTTCTCTGCAATGAGCCCTATCTGCCACCAATGTGCACATTTCACCAACTACTCAACTTGTTTCAATTATAGTTTGTTCTAATTTATCACAAGGGAAATTGAATACAGAAGTAGGAAAGTTATGCTGTACTTACGGAGGACATTGGTGAGACTAAATCTGGAGTACTATACACAGTACTGCTTTCCTTATTTAAGGGTGGAAGTGTCATGCGGACAGTTCAGAGAAGGTCTCCCAGAATAATACCAAAAATGGCAGGCTGTCTTTTGAGGAAATGTTGGACAGCCTAGTCTTGTAGCTGCTCAAATTTAGAAGAGTAAGATATAACTTGATAGAAATGTACACAATCTGGAGGGATCTTGACAGGGCTGAAGTGAAGAAAGTATTTCTTCTTGTGAGAGAATTTATAACTATGGGGTCACTGATTAAAAATTACTGATTACCTGTTTGAAATAGATAAGGTATTGTGTTTTTTCTCAGTGGTTTATAATTTATTGGAACTCTCTCCCCTTTTGGAAGCAGAATCCTTGAATATTTTTAAGGCAGATATTTGTTAAGCAAAGGGATGAAAGACTATTTGGGTATGCAGATCTGTAGACTTGAGATTACAGTCAGATCAGCTAGAGCTGTGTGCTAGAGTGGATTGATGGGGTGAATGGCCTACTCCTGCTCCTAATTTGTATGTTGTTTGTTTGAGTAAAATATTTCAGGCTGTTTGCCAGTCAAGCAAGATGCTTCTAATAACTGAAATCTTTCTTTCTAGCACTATAACAATAATATTGGTTTTTACAGAGCACATCAGGTTCTTGAAGTGTGTACAGGTTACCCAAGGCCAAAGGTTCCACATTGTTTCTCAAGACAAAGGTTTAATCTTACCGCTGATCTTCTCAGTTGACAGAGTCTTTTGGTTTCTGGAGCTTGCACCTTGAAAAGACGTAAAACCTTTATCTTTGCAAAGCTGACACGAAAAACGAAACTGATTCACTGCGCCACAATCAATTGCCTGTTAGGGTGGTGACATAATGGAAATATATTAGACTTGTAATCCAGAGGGCCAGGCTAGTTTCCTGGGAACACACAAAAGCAGAAATTTCAGGAGAAACTCAGCACTTGAGGAAAGAGAAACCAAGCTAGTGCTTCAAGTGCAGTCAGTTCTGAAGAAGGGTCTCTGGACTTGAAACGTTAACTTTTCTGTGTCTCCACAGATGCTGCCAGACCTGTTTAGTTTCTCCAGCAATTTCTGTTTTCCTGTATTTCAGATCTCCTGAAGTTCTTTGTTTGATTTTGGCACCTTGAATATTTGAATTCAAATCCCACCTCTGCAGTTGATAGCTGATAGAACCAAATAACGATGAATTATTGAAGGCTAGTCTCAGTCAGGGTGACCATGGAATTACTGAATTATCTATTGTTAGAATCCCCGCTTCACTAATGCCTTTTAAGGAAGAAAATATGCTGTCCTTGTCTACGTCTGGCACCAGACATACACAATGTTGTCAACTGCACCCTTAAGTGATCAAGCAATTACATTGGAATATAATTAACACTTTTTACTCCCAATTTACAAATGTAAAGGGAGGCGATGGCATAATGGACTAGTAATCCAAAACCCCAGACTAATTTTGATGAATGCAAGGTAATGCATTTTGGCAAAACAAACAATGGCTAGACTTATACAATTATAGTAGGGCCTCAGGTAGTGTTGTAGAACAAAGAGACCTAGGGGCTCTGGTACATAATTCTTTGAAGCTTGTATCACATATAGACAGGGTGGTTAAGAAGGTATTTAGCATGCTTGCTTTCATTGCTCAGGCTTTTGAGTACAGGAATTGGGATGTTATTGTTAAGGTTGTACAGGGCATTAGTGAGGTCTCTTCTGGAGTAATATGCTCAGCTCTGGTCTCCCTGTTAAAGGAAGAATATTATTAAGCTGGAGATGGATCAGAAGAGATTTAAAAAGTGGAACCACATTAGGCATCCTCCAGTCCTCTGGCACTTCCCAGTAGACAGAGAGGAATTAAAATCTGTGCCAGAGTCCCTGCAATTTCCTGCCTCACCTCCCACAGCAGCCTGGGATGCAGTTCATCTGGGCCAGGGGATTTGTCTTTTAAAGCATGCAGAGCCTTCAATACCTCCCCATTTCCTATGTCAAACTGTGCAAGTTCCTCACAGTCCCTTTTCCTGAATTCCGTATCTACATTCTCCTTTTCCAGAGTGAAGACTGAAGAGGAGTATTCATTCAACACTCTTCCCATATCCCACAGTTTCACACACAGGTTGCCCCCCTTGGTCCCTATGGACCCTACTCGTTTCCCGGTTAACCTCTTCCCTTTAATGTATTTATAAAATATGTTAGAATTTTCCCTAATCCTGTTCCCAAGCCCTTTCTCATGCCCCCTTTATGCTCTTCTAATCGCTTTCCTAAATTCCCTCCCACACTTCCTACATTTCTCTAGGGCCACAGCTGAATTGTTCCCTTTGGACTTTCTAAAAGCCTTTCTCTTCTTCCTTATCTAGACCTGAATCGTCCTAGACCCCAGGGTTCTCTGAACTTATTGCTCCTACACTTCCCTCTAAAGAGTACATGTTGGACTTATACTCTCCCCAGCTCCTTTTTGAATGCCACCCCCCACCACTGCTCTGCTGTAGACTTACCCACAAGGAGCTGTTCCCAATCTACTGTGGCCAGGTCCTGCTCTATTTTAACAAAATCTGCCTTCCTTCATTCCAAAGCCACTTTTGCAGGCCATTTTATTCCTTGTCCAAAATAAATTTGAACCGTACCGTGTTATCGTTGATATAGCTAAAATGTACCCCCACTGCCACATTGAACACTTGTCCAGCTTCTTTTCCCAGGTCCAGATACAGCACTGTGCCATCCCTTGTTGAGCCTTCTACATAGAATCATAGAATCCCTACAGTGTGGAAACAGGCCCTTCGGCCCAACAAGTCCACACCGAACCTCAGAGCATCCCCCCCCGACCCACCCCCCAATATACCCATCCCTGAACACTACAGGCAATTTTCCATGGCCAATCCACCCAGCCTGCATATCTTGGACTGTGGGAGGAAACAGGAGCACCCGGAGGAAACCCATGCAGACACGGGGAGAATGTGCAAACTCTACACAGACCGTCGCCCAAAGCTGGGTTCGAACCCGGGTCTCCAGTGCTATGATGCAGCAGTGCTAGCCACTGAGCCACCGTGCTGCCCTTTTAAAATTGGATTATGCCCAGTGGGGAATTGAACCCCAGTCTCCAGCGTGACACGCAAGGATACTAACCGCTATACTATCGAAGATGACGTATTGATAAAAATAATTGATAAAAAGAAATCCTTTGGATTTATTTCAAGAAATCTATCCCCACTAAATCCTTAAGATGCTGACCATCCCAATTTATGTTAGGAAAGTTGAAATCCCTTAGTATAAATACCCAATTATTACCCATACACACTTCTAGGAACTGTCTACATGTTTGCTCCTCTATTCCCCGCAAACTCGAGGTGGACACGAAGAGTTCTACATTAGTTTTTAACAGAGCAGATGTATCAGTACCAGATCTCTAGTCATTATGGTTGGCCAAATGTACTTATGCTCATTGCTATTATTCTTGTTATCTTAGGACAGTGCCTCATTGTCAATACCCCATGGTGGTATATCCTTTACAATCAATCTAGGGTGGTAAAGAAGGCATATGGGTCTATATAGGTCAGGGAATTGAGTACAAGAGTCAGGATGTCATGTTGCAGCTTTATAAGACTTTGGTGAGGCCATACTCAGAGTATTGCATTCAATTCTGGTCGCCACATCATAGGAAGGATGTGGAGGCTTTGGAGAGGTTTACGAAGAAGCTGCCATTCACAGGATGAGGGCTGCACTAGCTAGGCAGCATTTAATGCCCATCCCTAATTGCCCAGAGGGTAGTTATGAGTCTACCATATTGCTGCGGGTCTAGAGTCACATGTAGGCCAGGTCAGGTAAGGATGGCAGCTTCCTTCCCTAAAGGGCATTAGTGAACCAGATGGGTTTTTCCAACAATCTGCAATGGATGGTTCTTTGGATTGACAGTGCAGCGATAATACCACTAAGCCATTGCCTCCCCACGATTAGAGGGTATAAACTATAAGGAGAGGCTAGAAAAACTCAGTTGTTTTCTCTGGAGCGGCGGACGCTGTGGGGAGACTTGATAGAAGTTTTTTATATGATGAGATGCATAGATACTGATGATGGTCAGAATCTTTTTCCCAGAGTTGAAATGTCTGATTCTAGTGGACATGCATTTAAGGTGATGGAGAGAGGAGTTCAAAGGAAATGTGAGAGGCAGTATTTTTACACAGAGTGGTAGGAGTGTGGAATACGCTGCTAGGGATGGTGGTGGAGACAGATACAATAGGGGTGTTATGGGAGTTTTGGATGAGCACATGAATATGCAAGGAATGGGGGGATATGGACCAAGGGAAGGCAGAGGGGATTAGTTCAATTTGGAGTCATGTTTGGTACAGCATCATGGGCCAAAGTGCCTGTTCCTGTGCTGTACAGTTCTATGTTCTATGTTCTATAATTACTAGCCAGGCCCAAGACTAAGCAAAGATAAGGAAGGATTGATGGTCGTGGATTACCTCAAGTCTCTTTTACATGGCACCGCTTACTCACTGAGGTGACAAATACCACAAGGTACCAGCAGTGGTCAACTGGGAAAATATCACAAGCCCTAGTTGCTTAACGGCCCAAGGGTGTGAATTGACATCTCAATATGGTAAGATGTGAAACTCAGTTCAATAAATCTGGGGATTTGTGGACTAGCACAGGAAAATAAACATTGAAGCTGCTGAATTAACATAACCTCTCAATTGCTCATTAATATCCTGCAGAGAAGGTGGAAGATCTTTTCTGATCTATCTGTTCATCCAGCCCATCCCTACATAACTAACCAAGGAGCAATGCAAGATAATGCACAAATCTGCCCAATCGCAAATGACAAACGTTATTCATTATTCATTCCAATTTAAGATGTTCTGTCAATGAGAGGCACTGTAAAAATTATAATACGCATAGATTATAGTATGATTTATTATGAAATGCAGGGCTGCATTTCAATAAAATTTCTAATACTTGCTAATGGGGATATTGGCAATGCAACAATGACTGTTGGAAATATTCCTACAGATCAGCTTTTGGCTGGATTTGAAGCCAATATTTACTTCATGAAGAAGTCAGAGGGGATTCTGCCAACTTCAGCCATTGCCAACATCAAATTTCAAGGGCTGGGAGTCTCCACAGATTTTCTGGAGGTAATTTAACCAGGAATTACTTACAAGCAAGAGTACTTACTGCATCTAGCTCATGCAATGTTGCAGTTTCTGAGCATAATAACTCTGTTCTTGTCTTTGTAAAGATCGGTATCCAAGCAGAGGGACAGTGGGGAACCAATCAATCCCTCAGGAGAGGAGCAAGGAGCAATAGCAATGAACACATTGCGAAGAAGGTTAGGATAACTCCTTTCTCCAAAACCCCTACCCCAACACAACAACCTTTCTTTCCTTCCTAGCCTGAAGACCTTTGCTAGTGTATCATTCTCTGGCATCTTGTCCATCATTCAGGTATTCAGGAGCTTGCACATTCTCCCTCTGTCTGTGTGGATTTCCAACGAGTGCTCTGGTTTCTTCTCACAGCCCAAAGATGTGCAGTTTAGATGGATTTGCCATGCTAAATTGCCCCAAGTGTCCAGGGTTGTGCAGGCTAGGGGTGTTAGCCATGGGAAATGCAGGGCCACACAAATAGCGTGGGGGTTGGGTCTGGGTGGGATGTTCTCTGGAGGGTCGGTGTGGACTCGATAGGCCAAATGGCCTGCTTCCACACTGTAGGGATAGATGATATAGATGATTCTATCAGGTACGGCCTATAATGTTAGATTCTGACAGGCTCTTCCACTAAGATGGCCAATGCAGTCAAGCATAAACCTTCCACGATGTGGTCTCCACCCTCACACACTTTCCATAAAAGGATAAAAGTTGTTGCTGATGAGCACCAAGAACCATCACTTGTGTTGTTCCTGCTGCACTTACACACCAAGGTTACCTCCTTCTCAACCTTGCCCCTGGCCTGAGGTGTGGTGACTTCAGGTTAAGCTCACCACCAGTTGTCTCTCTCTAATGAGACAGCAGCCCAATGGACCTCTCAGTCAACAGCAATTTTACCTTACCTTACACACCAAGAGTTGTGGAAATTACATGTCAATAATTTAACATGTTTTTAGCTGGGTTTTTTTTCACATAGGAAGTTAATCCCTTGACACTCTTTCAAAGAAGAGGAGGGGAAATTCTCCCTTGTGTCCCAACCAATTTGTTCCTTTGGCCAACATCGTGATTGAAAACAGATGAAGCGGCCTTTAGAACATTGTTTCCATTTGCGGGAGCTTGCTGACCACAAATTGGCTGCTGTGTTTTCTTGATTACAACAGTGACTGCATTTCAGAAGGACCTCATTAGTTATAGAGTCCTTTGGGATGACCTGAGATCACGAATGGTGCTGCAAAAAAGCAAGTCTTTCTTATTCCTCATAGTGCCTGGCCTGACCTCAATCTACATCAGACACTGGAGAGAAAATTGGAGTAACTCACCAAGTCGGACTAAAAAACGGCGGATTGTCTTCTAATAGCTGTGAATTTTGCTGTGTTTCGGAGGATACATTCACCATGCCCAAGTTCCCAGCATGAAACTGCATAAAGAGAGTGGCTGTCAGATTTAAGGATCACATTGTTAGAACGTGATCCTCAAACTCAAGCCTTTTTTTGAAATTACAGCATCAATTGGTGCCTTCTGTAACATCATAATTCTCAATTGATTCCCAGGATACGTGCACTCCAAGAAAGTCCCATCACTAGATGTCCTGAAAATCAAGGTACTAGCGACCCTTCTTCATCAACTGCAGCCATCCTTCTGGCCCAGATATTCCCCGCAGTCCTGTCAGGTTCCAGGGTCTTGTCCCGGTGCCAGTGAAGAGTGGGTTGATTTATATCCAAGTGTGCCTGCAAGGGAATCTTGATGGCGTTGGTGTTCCTATGTGGTTGTGCCCTGGTCCCAGTAGGTGCTGGACATCCAGCTGTAAAAGATTTTTTTTCAAGAAGCCATTGGAAACCTGTTACAGTACATGTCATGTATAGCACCACAATGCAGAGAGAAGCTCAAGTGTAAACTCTTCCTCAAAGCTCTCACCGAAATATTGACCTTTCAGTTCCCTTAGTTTGCCGAGGAACACAGCCGCTCTCTAATTTTGTTTCAGATTTATGGTGTGTATTCACAGTTTTCTCTTCTGATTTTTCTTTTTGTTGTTGCCTTCCAGGTACCAGGTTGGAAACCAATCCCTACAAAAAAAGCCCTAGCAGTTGCCTACATCAAGTTGTTTGGCCAAGAGCTAACTTTTGTTGAACTTGATCAAAATAATATACAAGAGGTCATTAAGGTATCGACTACACTTTCGAATTGAACTGCACTAGTAAGGAAGGGCTTCAGATATTGGGATTGTTTTCATTAGAGCAGAGAAATTTAAGAGAAAATGTAAAAAGTTTTTCTAACTTATTGAGAACATGGAAAGATCATTTTTTCCTTGGGTTGGAGAGTCAATGATGAGGAATTGTCACTTTTCAGTTAAGCTTGAGAGTGAGGAAAGACACTTGTTACAGCAGAACGATTTGATTAAATCTCAATGAATCTTTTAAAATAAATTAAAATATCAATTGGAAGCAAAATAAGTTATACAAGTAGAAGGTGTTGAAATGTTCTAAATGGATCCATTAATGACAATGAATGGACCTTTATTTGCCTGTTCATGAGATGTTGGCACCATTGGTAAGACATAATCTATTGCTCATTTTTGATTTCCCTTGAGATGGTGATGAGCCACTGGTGAAGGTACTCCCACTTTGCTGCTGAGAAGGGAATTTCAGGTTTTTAAAACAATGAGGGAAGTGGCTAGAATTGTGTATAACTTGTAGGCAATGCCATTTCCATGTTCCTGCTGCCCATGTCCTTCTGGATAATACAGCTCATGGGTTTGGAAGGTGCTGCTGGAGGTCCTTTGTTGATTTACTGCCATGCATCTTGTAGTCAGTACACTGCTGCCACTGTGCATTATGACTGGATGTAATGCTATAAGTGTATTAATTGAACTTTTTTTTTCTTATTCTTTCATGGGATGTGGGTGTCATTAACTGGTCAGGATTTTTACAGCATGTCCCTAATTGCTTAGAGGGCTGTTTTGAGTCAACGGCATTGCTGTGGGTCTGAAGTCATATGTAAGCCAGACCAGATAAAGGACATTGGTGAACCAGATGAAATTTTTACAACAATCGTTATTGAATTCAAATCCCACCATCTTGCCGTGGTGGGATTTGAACCCATGTTTCCAGAATATTAACCTGAAGTTCTGGATTACAAGTACAGTGACACCACCACTACCCCATCACCTCCTATGTAAATGGGGATTTGATGGCTTTAAACCCAATAATGAACTTGGTAGAGTTAGTTGGAGGTCATCCCAATTACACAGGATTGTTGAGCACCCACATCTCTGTGGGTTCGTCTCCACTTTCTATCTACTGTCTGTGTGGAGTTTGCACGTTCTCCCTGGGTCTGCGTGGGTTTCCTCCAGGTGCTCCGGTTTCCCCCCACAGTCCAAAGATGTGCAGCCTAAGTGGATTGGCCATGCTAAATTGCCCATAGTGTTCAGGGATGCCTAGATTAGGTGGGTTATAGGGGGATGGGCCAAGGTGGGATGCTCTGAGGGTCGGTGTGCACTCGTTGGGCCAAAGGGCCTGTTTTCACACCATAGGGATTCTATGATCTATGGTCTGGAAAATTTGCTAATGTCCCAACATGGGACTTTACCCAGCTACCTATTTTTAAGGTAGAGGTGGATAGATTCTTGTTAGGAAGGGGAATCAAGGGTTATCAAGGTTGGTGTGAATGTGAATTAGAAACACAAGCAGATCAGCAATGATGCCACTGAACAGCAGAGCAGGCTTGAGAGGCTGAAAGGCCTGCTCATTCTCCTCTTTCATGTATCCCCTTAGTGATATTATGACTCACTCTACTTCTTTGCAGGGAGATGAGTGTAACGATCACTTATCACTTCCAAAGAAGGGTCACTGGACCCGAAACATTGACTGTGCTTTCTCTCCGCAAATGCTGCCAGACCTGTTGAGTTTCTCCAGCTATTTCTGTTTTTCTCACTTACCACTTCTTCACACTGCATGGCCAAAGTAGACATCCTTCCCTCTCCTGCCCAAACTGAAACCCTTCTACCACTGCCCAGGAACCATCAGGAAGTAAGCATACTTCATCTCCCTCAATCCATTCTGGATCTGAAATTCCGCAGGTGGAGTGACCTTCCAAGATAACATGTAAGGAGTGGATGGAGGTGCATCTCGCACAAGGTTTGAGCAGGAATTCCCAAAGTCTGAAGGGAATTCCTGCTACTGAGTCTCGAGACCAGGAGAGTAGAGGTAAAGTAGAACATCAGTCACAATCAGATTGAAAGGCAGTACACGTCCACTGACCTAAACTTGTTCCTATGTTCCTTCGACCTGTGGATTTTGCCAGGTTACCATGAGATAATGTGAGAAAGCGGTGGAATTCCATGATCTAGGTCAGGACGACCTAGCACTACAACTTAGTTGCGTTTCTTTCCTTTTTTGTTTCACACAGCTCATCAGCAACCAAGGGAGAATGGACAACCTCATAAAGAAACTAATAAACCAGCTTCAGCGTGGAATCGCAACTCAATGGACCAAACCCTTATTGGCAACTGAGATCCGACATATTGTGCCAACATCACTTGGATTGCCAATGGAGCTGGCTTTTTATTACACTGTTGTGTCGGCAGTTACAGCACAGGGTAAGGGTTTAATACCTGGAGTACTGCATTCAGTTTTGATCCCTTTGAGGAAGGATGTAATTACATCGGAGGTCCTTCAGAGATGGTTAACTAGATTAATTCCAGAGATGAAAGGCTTGTCTCAAGATGAAAGATTGAGTAGTTTATACTTGTACTCGCTAGAATTTAGAACGATGAGAGGAGATCTATTTGAGTTATATATCTCTTAGTTGCCCTCTAGGAAGTTAGAGATGGGCAGTAAATGCTGGCCTGAACAATGACATTAACATCCTATGAATGAATGAAAACAAATTACCACAGGCCTCCCAGCTGACTATCTACAGCCTAAATAGGAGTGACCTGCAGGTTCCTGATTCCCCTAATTTTGGATCTCCCACTGAAATAAAAAAAGTGGCACAATGGCTCATTGGTTAGCACTGCTGCCTCACAGCGCTAGGGACCTGGGTTTAATTCCTACCTTGGGTGACTGTCTGCGTGGGTTTGCTCTGCTTTCCTCCTACAGTCCAAAGATGTGCGTGCTAAATTGCCCATAGTGTTCAGCGATGTGCAGGCTAGGTGTATTGGCCATGGGAAATGCAGGGTTAAAGGGATAGTGTAGGGGGATGGGTCTGGGTGGGATGCTCTTCGAAGGGTCGGTGTGGACTTGTTGAGCCGAATGGCCTGTTTCCACACTGTGGGGTTTCTATGACAGTGATTCTGTTGCAAATGTGCTGTGAAGGCTGAGTGGCCCCACTGAGACAGCTCTTGGGGGGTGTTGGAATGGAGCAGAAGATGGGAAGGTTTCTCAGCGGCCACTGGGGCAAGTAAGGAGACCTTAAAATACAAACCCTATGGACAGAGAATGCAAAAAATGAAAACCTAAGGGGATGTAGTCAAACGTTTCAATGGGAAGAAAGGGAAAGGTCCTTTGGGTGATGAATTGGGGAGCAAGGGGGTTTCTGTGTCACTTCTGCGATCTCTCTGCAACAGGTGTACAAAATGATCAGAGGTATAGATAAAGTGGACAGCCAGAGACTTTTTCCTAGGGTGGAGGTAGCTATTACGAGGGGGCATAGTTTGAAAGTGAGTGGAGGTAGATATAGGGGAGACGTCAGAGGTAGGTTCTTTACTCAGAGAGTGGTAGGGGCGTGGAATGCATTGCCGGAGAGGGTAGTGGAGTCGGCCTCATTAGGGGCATTTATGCGGCTATTAGATAGGCATATGGATGATAGTATAAGGTAGGAGTGGAGGTTAGATAGACCTTAGGTTTAGGGTAAAAGTTCGGCACAACATTGTGGGCCGAAGGGCCTGTACTGTTCTATGTTCTATTCAGTTTCCAAAAGCAGCACCTTTCCCACCCATACTCCCACTCCCCTCTCTCTTCACGCAGCGTGTCCTCCCCATCATCAGCACCTTGTTAAGTACCTTGTAATCAGAGGCTGAATGATGGTTTCACAGAGCAAGAAGCCAAGCCGCCTAGCAACTGTCGGCTGGGAAACCTCCCCATTTTCTGCTCCATTCCAACACCCCCAACAGTGGCTGGGAAAATTCATCCCAAAGGGTCTGAAATAATACAGCGAAGAAAGAGGTCATTTTTTTAAAAGAAAAGGCATGTTTACATTTATATCAAGTTTCATCGCACCTTTCAGAAAATGTGGAAAAGGATGACACATTTAAATCTGTAGCCCTCCCACCAAGACTATTCAAACATTCATTCTAATTCTTGCTGATTTACATCTCAATTCAATTTGTCTCCCTTCCCTTCCAGTTTTGGAATCCTTTGCCTATCAAACATTTATCCATCTCAGATTTCAGGGCTTCAATTCTCCCCAAAAGTTCCACAGTTCTAGCATTTGCAGTTTAATTTGGCAAAACCAATTCACTTAAATAACACAAGAACAGAAATTGCAGGCAATACTCAGCAGGTCAGCCAACATCTGTAAGAAGAAAGCAGGGTTAACGTTTTGAGTAAAAACCAAAAGAACTGCAGATGCTGTAAATCAGAAACAAAGACAGAAGTTGCTGGAAAAGATCAGCAGGTCTGGCAGCATCCGTGAAGAGAAATCAGAGTTAACGTTTCGGCTCTGGTGACTCTTCCTCAGAACTCTGAGCTTTTCCAGCAACTTCTGTCTTTGTTAATGTTTTGAGTCCAGTAACTCCTCAGTTCTCAAAACGTCATCTCTGCTTTCTTCCCACAGACACTGCCAGACCTGCTGAGTTTCGTGAGCAATTTCAGTTTTATTTCAGATCTCCAGCATCTGCAGTTTGTTATTTTGTTTCACTAATTTTTGTTTTGTGTTTCCTAAATGAATTCTTCCAACAGCCAAAGTGAAGTTCAATCCTGTCCCTTCCAATCTCACAATGGTTCAGCTCCTGAACACCACCATTCAGACTGATGTTCAACTTACACCAAGGTATTTGTTTCTCACAGTTATGAATGAACTGCCTGAGTGAAGGCAAAAAACATTTTTCATCTACAAATTTCTGTTAACCAGATCTCTGGGGTTTTCTACGGTATTGCTTCTGAGAGCTTTCTTTTTGTGATTTTTCTCTCCAGTGCTGTCAAAGATGTCATCGCCATCATGGGAATAAACACCCCTCTGATACAGACAGGAGTAGAAGTGCAATTGAAGACAAGCACTGTTGTCCCTGTGAACTTCACTGCGAGAGTGAACTTAAGGAAGAGTAACATCAAAATTGAATCACCCCCACTGAAACAGGAAGATGAGCTGTTCTCTGCTAGGTAACAGAAATCCTAACCCATTTCCACATGTTTTTAATGTTCCTTTTTCTGGTCTACGATGCCTATGATTATTTGCATTTTAGGGTATGAGTGAGAATGCAAACTTTTTATTAACTGGCACCTACAGGACCTTGCCTTTTTAAGATCTTAGCAAAAATTTGTAGCTCGGGTTGTTAATGCAGTTGTTTGTTAGCTCACTGAGCTAATTGAAGCCAACAGTGAACAGGACTAACATGATATACAGAATCCCATGCAGTGAATGCAATAAACATTACATTAGACAAACGGGGAGGAAACTGACAACCAGGATACATGAACACCAGCTGGCTGTAAAAAGACACGACCAATATTCACTTGTCTCAATACACACAGACAATGGAGGCCATCAGTTCGACTGGGACAAAGTGTCTACAGTGGGACAAGTGAACGACAGACATGCAAGGGAATTTCTGGAGGCCTGGTTCTAAATACGGGACTCCATTAAAATACACAAAGAAATAGACCCCACATACAGACTGCTGCTGAAAAACAGAACCAGAAGTGAAAAGACCCACCACACCGGAGGATCATATGAATTCGGAATGGAGAAGAACACCAACGCATCGATTAGAGGTAGCACTGATGATGTTGCCAAGAATGGTAACGAAACGACTGTACACCACAGAACAAACAGCTCAGCGAGCAAACGAACGACTCCAGGATTATGCTGGTTGATCAAATTAATTAAGGGTTATGGTGAGCGGGCAGGTAAGTGGAGCTGAGTCCATGAAAACATCAGCCATGATCTTATAGAATGGCGGAGCAGGATCGATGGGCCGGATGGCCTACTCCTGCTCCTATTTCTTATTATGTTCTTATTAAATATTCCGATTGATCAAGGGGTCCACAGAATCAATATAAAAACAGCACTAAGTAATTAAAACATAATGCAGCATATACCCATCACTGTTAAACTTTATTTAAAGCAAAAAAAAATTTAAATAATAATGCAACTTTGCCTTAAATAAAACTTGCCAGCAGAGAGCATTCTCACTCATATCCTCAACTGACAACTTGTACATAGCAGAGATTGAGGTAATATAGTAAACCTCCAGTATTTCAGGTACAATAATTTTTGCTGATTTATCAAGAGTGCCAGTTAAAACAAAATTTGCTGTTAACAGTAACATTAGAACGCTGAAATGTCCCCAAACCACTGCGCGGGAACGTAATTACATTGTAGTTTTCAATGAACCAGAGGATAATTCTTCTCTCAAAGTATGCAGTTTTGGTTGCCACACTATAGGAAGGACAGGGAGGCTTTGAAGAGGGTGAAAAAGAGGTTTACCAGGATGTTGCCCGGTTTGGAGTGTGCTAGCTATAAGGAGAGATTGGACAAACTTGGATTGTTTTCAGTAGAAATACATAAAATCACGAAAGGCATGAATAGGATAAATAGCCAGAATCTTTTACCCAGGGCAGAAATGCCAGTTACCTGGGGTACAGGTTTAAGGTGAGGGGGGGGAAGTTTTTAAACGAGATATGCTAGATAAGTTTTTTTTTACACAAAAGGTGGTAGATACCTGGAAGGGATGGTGATGGAAGCAGATACATTAGCAAAGTTTAAGGAGCATTTAGATAGATATGTGAGTAGGCAGGGAATAGAGGAATATTGACCATGTGCAGGCGGATGGGATTAGTTTAGAATGGCACCATGGTCAGTACAGACATGGTGGGCCAAAGGACATGTTCCTGTGCTGTGCTATTCTGTGCATGTTCTAAAAGGGTTTGTGAATTTGTGGAATTCATTATCCCAGAGTGTGGGATGGAGGTTCCAACATTGAGCACCTGAAGCCCTGTCCCCTTACTTGAGGAGGCTGTTCAGAGATGGTTCACTAGGTTAATTCCAAAGATAGAAGCCTTGTCTTATAAGAAGAGACTGAGCAGTTTAGGCTTAAACTCGAGGAGATTTAATTGAGGTATATATGATTCTCAAGGGGATTGACAAGTTAGATGTAGAGAGGATGTTTCCATTGTGGGACAATCTAGAATGAGAGGTCGTAGTTCTGGGATAAGGGGCAGGAAATTTAAAACAGAGATGAGGAGGAATTACTTCTCTCATAAGGTCATGAATCTGTGGAATTCACTATCCCAGTGTGTGGTGGAAACTGGGACATTGAGTAAACTTAAGGAGGAGTTAGAATTTCAATTAGTAACAGGTTGAGAGTTAAAGAGAATAGACAGAAAAGTGGAGTTGAGGCTAAGATGAGATTAGCCACGATTGTTTTGAATGGTGTAGCAGGAACAAGGGGCTGAATGGCCAATTCCTGCACCTAGTTTTATGATTTAAGAGGATATATGAGGGCAGTGACTAAACAAATGTATAAGTAAACAGTGGATATAGGCCATTCAGTCCCTTGAGCCGGCTACCCCATTTAATAAGATCTGTGATCTCAGCCACATTCTCACCTGCCACTGAAAACCTCTCTGCTTGCCAAGAATCTCTCCACGACTACCGTAAAAATCTTCAAAGGCAGCTTTAATAACTTTGTCAAGAAGACAGTGTCAAAGGCTCATGACCTACCAGATGTTTGACAAAGAGGTATGTTTTAAGCAGCATCTTAAAGGGAAAGAAGGAAACACAAAGGATTCAGAAGTGAGTTCCAACACTTAAGTCCTTGTTGGCTACAGTTTGCCAACGATAGGATGAAGAAAGTTGAGGACACACAAGAGGTGAGTGCTAGAAGAAAGCAGAATCCTCAAGGGGTAAAGGCATTCGATAGATTGGAAAACAAAGATCATAGAACCCCTGAAGCATGGAAGCAGGCCATTCAGCCCATCAAGTCCACACTCAATGCCATTCTGACCAACTCCCCTACTCTATCTCTGTAACCCCATATTTTCCATTGCTAATCCCCCTAACCTGCACATCGTTGGACTGTGGGAGGAAACCAGAGCACCCAGACAAAACCCACACAGACACATAGAGAGAACATGCAAACTCCACACAGATATTCACCCAAGGCTAGAATCAAACATAGGTCCCTGGTGCTATGAGGCAACAGTGCTAACCACCGTGCCACCATACAGTTACAACTTGAGGCATTAGTAAGAAATGAAATACAGGCCAACAAGCATATTGGTGGAATGGTGTTTTTAGAATATAAGAGTGAGAGTTTTAGATAAGCACGTGTTTATTAAAGCTAGAAGGCCAGCCAAGAGAACATTGGAATAATTGAAACATTATGCAGTATTCTGAATCAACAATTAAAACCAGAAAGAAGAAAGAAGGTCAGGATGGATTAGATAGGTACTAACGTTATTGTTTCACTTTGAGTTTCAGGAAAGTACTGACTGAAGGTCTGATAGTAGCAGATTCGATAGCAGTTTTCGAAAGAGAAGTAGGTAAATGCTTGAAATAGAAACAATTGGGTGCAGTGATGAGCAGGCAAGGGACCAATTAGATAACCAGCACAGACACAATGGGTTGGTTGGCTTGTATGCTGTAAAATGCTACAATTCTCAATTAAGAAGCCTGAAGGAACACAGAGAGAAAAAAAAACTTGCTTATGTACAGCCCCTTTCATGGCTTCAAGATGACCTAAATCAGTTGAGAGCCAATTTGTACTTTTGAAGCATGGGCAGTTTTGTAATGTAGGATAACAGGAGGGTGGGCATCTGGAAGTGACATTCTATAGAGTACTGGATTGTTGGCAATCACTTGCTCTTATTTGCATTTTGCTTCATTCACTAAAATTAACGAACAAAACATGCTCTGCTCAGATTATGGTGAGGAGTGATACAATGGATTTCCACACAAGAATGTTTCTGAAAAGTGTGGGGTCAATAGAAAATGTGGAGAACAGGCAAGTCTGGAGGTAACAAAAGCACAAAAATTTAGTTCATGACGTTAAAGTCACCTTTTAAAGCATCAGGTCATAGAAAGTGACATTGCCAGATGAACAACGTGCTTTCCAAACAGTAAAATATCTTTTTTACTATATTGTTCACTCTTATTTTTTAGGAATTACAGCAGCTAATTTGCACACCGCAATCTCCATCTGAAAGCAATGCAATCTCAGTGTTGTTCTGTGTGGATGAAGGATAAAATATAGCTAGGATTCAAGGGTAGTAATTGTATCCGAGATAGTAGGAACTGCAGATGCTGGAAAATCTGAGATAACAAGGTGCAGAGCTGGATGAACACAGCAGGCCAAGCAGCATCATAGGAGCAGGAAAGCTGACGTTTCGGGCCTAGACCCTTCATCAGAAATGGGGGAGGGGAAGGGGGTTCTGAAATAAATAGGGAGAGACGGGGAGGACGAGAGAGTTGCAGTGGGAGAGAGATCCCCTGAGGTTTGTCCGGAGGGAGGAGGGTAATTTCTTCAGGGTAGGCATCCTTAGCAGAGGCTTCGCAGTGGGGTTTAAATTGTATCAGAGATAGTAGGAACTGCAGATGCTGAAAAATCTGAGATAACAAGGTGTAGAGCTGGATGAAAATATGGTGTATGTACTTAACCAACTATTAATAGAAGGAACTGGAAGAATGCAGTATGCATTATTAGAAATGCATATTATTAATACTATGCAGTATTAGAAATCCAACACCAAACTAGTTTTGTAACTTTCTGACTTGACTCAACCTGCACAGGTTTACCATGAGAAACTTCTGTACTTGCCAAGCGTGAAAAAAATTAGACTTCACAAGCAACAGAAATTGACAGGAGGAATGGTTTCATCCAGCAGCACAACATTACATTAGCTCTGCAGAAGGCAAATAAGTCTTCAATTTCACTTCCATTTTTGGTATTTGGCAACATGACAATTCTTCAGACCAAAAGCAAGATATGTTACTGCATGCTTCTTGCATCAGCGAAGCCATTCTCTAATTTCATCACTGCTCTTACCAAGACCACACATAAATTGCGATATATTCCCAAGCCTCTGCTGCAGGGGATTGAGGCACCTAATTTTGTTGAAACAGAAATGCACTTCTACATTTTAACCTGTCCAGGACAAAAATAAATAAACCATCTTTAATTTATCGTGGTTAAATTAGACTGCTTCAGGCTTACGTTGAATCTTCCAAGAGGTCTACACCACAAATCAATTTAAAGAAATTTTGTTAATGTTACACTTTCACTTTGAATTAGTTAGTTTTGTCTTAATCTATCCTAAATTTACTAAATTTCTAGTTAATCACAAGTTTCAGTACAGCCTTATTTTCATTGCTTTGCAACAGTCATACTTTCTTATTAGAATTTCAATGTGTTTATGTATTGTGCCAGATTCATGCTAGAACTGTTAAATTTGCAAACCATGGACCCTGTGCAACCATCAGTAAGCGAGATAAACTTTTGACTTCACCTAAAGTCAGTTGACAAAGATCTGGTACCTCAAATCTTGAATCATAAATGCAATATGAAAAAGCCTTTTGTAAAAAAAGAAAATGACATGCAGCTAGATTTCACATTGTTATTGATTGTTGATATTATATTAAGCAGCCATCGGCATGGAAACAAGCCCTTCAGCCCAACTCGTCCATGCTGACCAGGTCTCCTAAATTGGATCCACTTGTGTGCATTTGGCCCCTTAATCTCATCCTCCCCCTCGCTCCCTATTTATTTCAGAAACCCTTTCCCCTCCCCCATTTCTGATGAAGGGTCTGGGCCCGAAACGTCAGCCTTCCTGCTCCTATGATGCTGCTTGGCCTGCTGTGTTCAATCAGCTCTACACCTTGTTATCTAGGATTCAAGGGATTTTTTCTGAATTCAATCAAGAGGGTTAGTTTAATGTTCCATCAGGTAGACGGGCCTGCAACAGTACAGCACTCCCACTGTGGTGCACAGAATTAGAATTGGATTTTAGAATTAGAACTAGATTTTATTGTGCTCAAGTAGAGGAAGACATGAGTACGGTGAGAAGTTGACAGTCACAATTGTGTGGCACCAGCTTGGTTACAAAACCAGAATCTCAAAAAGTACAACAGGGGGTGGCACAGTGGCTCAGTCCTTAGCATAGCTGCCTCACAGCACCAGGGACCCAGGTTCAATTCCAGCCTCAGGTAACTGTCTGTGTGGAGTCTGCACATTCTCCCTGTGTCTGTGTGGGTTTCCTCCAGGTGCTCCAGTTTCCTCCCACAGTCCAAAGATGTGAAGGTTAGGTGGATTAGCCACACTAAATTGCCCATAGTGTTCAGGGATGTGTAGATTACATGGGTTATAGCAGGATGGGTCTGGGTGGGATGCTCTGAGGGTCAGTGTGGACTTGTTGGGCCAAAGGGCCCATTCCCACACTGTAGGGATTTTATGAAAATAAAGGAAAATTGAAAAGTATCCAGATCTCAAAGTCTAAGGAAGTGTCAGCCTAAATGTCATGTTCAGGTCAGTGTTGTGAGACTGTGTACCCTCCATCTTCTGACAGAGGTTAGACCAATGAGCCATTGCTTACACAGAGGAGGTTAGCAGATGGGCTTGACATGAAGCAAGTTTGATGATGCCATTGCCCTCTGTTTCTGTTTTTACATCTAAATAGGTCACGGGCTTTTGCCTTCTCAAGAAATATTGAAGACTTGGCCTCAGCGAAAGTCACTCCACTGCTATCGAGCGGAGAGTTCAGAATGATGAACAGAGAATTGAATTTGGCAAAGAATTCAACAGCAGATAAACAGAGAGTGATGGTAAGAAAAAAGACCCTCCGGTTGCTTTCTCCTTGGTTCAGCTGTGGAGTGCTTCAACTGTTTTAATTTGTGGTTGCCTTGCAGGAGAAAGTGTTGCCTCTAGCTATACCACAGGGAGCTGTGTGCTCAGCTGAAGATACACCAGATGTCCCAAGTCCAACAGTCCGCCAGGCTTGTGCAAAGTTCAGCACATTCGGAGTTCAAGTTTGCTACAAGACTAGCTCTGAAAATGCTGCCTTCACCGGCAACTCACCGTTGTACAGAATCATCGGTGATAAATCGATTGTTGTCACAGTCAAACCAGGTAAAGGCAATCACGAAAGGAAAAGAACTTGCATTTACAAAGCTCCTTTCACCATGTCAAGATATCCTAAAGCCCTTCATAGCAGATAAAGTGCAGTGTTAGTGTCAATCTCCTTTCCCTCTGGGTGAAAATGGTTGCAGGGAGATAGGAAAAAGGCAAGTGATTTCCAGTGGGTGATAGAACAGTGCAGTATGATGGGTGGAATGGCCACCTTCTGTGCCATAACAGTTCTGTGTGAGTCAGTGATGTTAAGCAAGCATGGACACTTGGGGATAGACGTTTGTGCCCTGAATGGGGCTGGCTCGGAGGTGGGTCACCATAAAGAATGGTGCCAATGCCTTGATGCCAATTGTGCCAATCCATTCCCAACCCCACTGACTTTCTCAAGAGTGGAAAAAGTCAATTTCCCACATCTTTAATTGGCTACATTTACAACATCAAGGAGCTCACTAAGAGCTCGCTTTCTAAAGTCCTGAGATTTTCTTGGAGATGGGAAACTCTTGAGAGTTGCACGAAGCTGACCAGCTCCAGCCCATCTGCAACATGGTCTGCTGTGTTGATATCTTTCATGTGATGGTTAACAAGTGGCAGATTTGATGTAAATCTATTGCCCAATAATGGCGCTTCACTACTATGAACATTCTATCCTTTTCCTGTTCTGGATTCCAAACCCCCATCCCTGATCACTCCTGCCCCAATAATGGGGCAGCATGGCAGCTCAGTGGTTAGCACTGCTGCCTCACAACGCCAGGGATCCAGGTTCAATTCCACCCTCAGGCGACTGTCTGTGTGGAGTTTGTACCTTCTCCTCACATCTGCATGGGTTTCTTCCAGGTGCTCCAGTTTCCTCCCACAGTCCAAAGATGTACAGGTTAGGTGGATTAGCCATGGAAAATTCAGGGTTACAGGGATAGGGAGTGGGTCTAGATGGAATGTTCTTCGAAGGGGTGGTGTGGACTCAAAGGGCTGAATGGCCTGTTTCCATCTGTGGGGATTCTAAGAATTTGAAGAGGCAGATTGTGTCCAATTTTGCTTTTCAAGCTCAAGGTGTCCCTGCTCCATTCCTGGCTCCACAACTCCCTTCCCATCCTCCCCTCCCGCCAACTATTAATTGTCCCGTCTCCAAATAAGCTTCCACTTCAACTATGGTGCTGGTCAGTACCAGGTTCATGTTGGCAGACTATTTAGAACTAGAAAATCAATCTGGTATCCCAATTCCTAACTCTTCCACTTACATCTGGCCCTTGGTGGTAGAACATCTGGGACAGTTATTGACACAGAGGATGTGGGCTCAATCCAGTCTGGGTCAGGAGTGTCTTCTCAGTGTCAGTTGCCCATTGGTAGGACTGAGGGTGTAGGACACGTCTTGTAGCTGAGATCCAGACAAATCTTCTCCACGGAGTTCCTCCTGTTCCCAAGGCAAGATGCATTCCAACAGTTCCAGGGGACATACCAGTCTTTCGCTCCATTGTAGACAAACAGGAGGCTGGAAGAACGCAGCAAGCCAGGCAGCATCTAAAGAAAGATGGAAGTCAATTTTTGGTGTATTACCCTTCTTCAGGAATGGGTAATACCCAAAACGTTGACTTCTCCTTTCCTCCAGATGCTGTCTGGCTTGCTGTGTTCTTCCAGCCTCCTGTTTGTCTACCTTGGATTCCAGCATCTGCAGTTTTTTTAGCTCCATTAGATTCCCTCATGTTTTTACTCTCCTGATAATATTGTATTTATGGCCTCTCCTGTTTTTGTCCCTTTGATTATTTAGTAATTTTAGAATTCTATTAGTTTCTTCTGTTAAGACTGAAGCAAAGTATTTATTCAACTCCTTTGCCACTTTCTGGTTCCCTGTTATTGTTTCTCCAGTCTTGTTCTCTAATGGGTCCATGTTGACTTTGTCTTGTTGCTTCTTTTTTATATATTTACAGGACGTCTTTGTTTGATTGGATGTTATTGCAAGTTTACTCTCACAATTTGTGTTCTACCTTTTTTGTTGTCGTTTGTTTGTTTCTAAAAATTTCCTGCTCCTCTGGCTTTCCACTAATCTTTGCTGAATTGTTTGCTTTTTTCTTTCATTTTGCTTTTATCCTTAGCTTCCCTTGTTAACCATGGTTGGCTTATTGCTTCCTGGAATCCTTATTTCTCGCTGGGATATATCTTTCTTGTGAGCTGTGAACTATTTTGTTGAACACTTGCAATTGTTCTTTAACAGTCTTTGCTCCTTAATAAATTTACCAGCTAGCTCTGCCCGCTTTTGTTTGTAATTATCTTTTTATTAAGTTTAGCACAGTGTTTTCTGACCCAAGTTTCTCTCTCTCAAACTGAATTTTAAATTCTACCATGTTATGGTCATTGTTTCCTTTTAACTCCAACATCATTTATTAAAATCTGCCTTATTACATATTACCAAATCATAAATAGCCTGAATTCTGGTTGGATCTGTTATATATTGTTCTGGCAAACTGCCCCAAATACATTCGCTGATTTTTTGTTTTCCTTGTGGCTCCCTCTGCAAATCTGACTGTTCCAATCTACATGAAGATTAATGTCACACATAATTAATGTATGGCCTTTTTTACATGCCCTCATTATCTTCTCATATATTCTCTGTCCTACCATACAGGTGCTATTGGAGGATGGAGGCGATAGGTTACTTTTTCCAATGTCTTTTCCACTTTAATTTCTTAGCTTCACCCAAATGGATTCTGCATCTTCTGCTCCAAGATCATTTATTGCTATTGTATTTATTCCATCTCATACTAACAAAGCTGCCCCATCACCATTTCTTCCTGCCTGTCCTTTTGAATAATCACATTCCTCTAAATATTCAGAGGTAGTAGGAACTGCCGATGCTGGAGTCTGAGATAACAAGGTGTGGAGCTGGATGAACACAGCAGGCCAGGCGGCATCAGAGGAGCAGAAATTTCTGAAGAAGGGTCCAGACATGAAACGTCAGCTTTCCTGCTCCTCTGATGCTGCTTGGCTTGCTGTGTTCCTCCAGCTCCACACCTTGTTACCTCTAAATATTCAGTTTCCATGTCTCCTACTGGCTCTATGCTTATGCCCACTAACCTGTATTTGTGCTGTTAATTCATTTACTTTGTACCCAAAACTATGGGCATTCAAATAAAGAGACTATTTTGTCTATTGGCTATTTCCTCTCCCTTTGAACCTACTTACTGCCAATTGTCTATGTTTTTACTCGCTGTCCCTTCCTGTTCCACCTTGAGTGTCATTACCCAAATAGCTGCCCTGTAATGCTTTGTAAGTCTGCATATATAGCGAGTCATATAGGCAGACAGCATGGAAACAGATCCTTCAGTCCAACTTCTCCATCCCGACCAGGTTTCCCAAACTAAACTAGTCCCATTTGCATGTGTTTGGCCTATATCCCTCTAAACTTTTCCTTTCCATGTACCTGTCCAAATGTCTTTTAAATACTGTGACTGTACCCGCCTCTACCACTTCCTCTGGCAGTGCGTTCCACACAAGTGTGAAAAAGTTGCCCCTCATGTCCGTTTTAAATCATTCCTCTCTCACCTTAAACCAATACCCTCTAGTTTTGAACTCCCCTACCTCAGGGAAAAAAATCTTTTGCTATTTACCTTATCTATGCCTCTCATGATTTTATAGATCTTTATGAGGCCACCTCTCAGCCTCCTACGCTCCAGGGAGAAAAGGCCCAACCTATCCAGCCTGTCCCTATAACTCAAGTCCCAGTAACATTCTTGTGAAGCGTTTCTGCACCCTTTCCAATTTAATAAAATCCTTCCTCTAGCAGGGCAACCAGAACTATATACAGTACTCCAAAAGTGACCTCAGCTATGTTCTATATGGCTGTAACATGATGTCCCAACTACTGCACTCAGTGTTCTGACTTATGAAAGCAAGTGTGCCAAATGCCTTCATGACCACAATTAACACAGTGTGGAGCTAAAGGAACACAGCAGGTCAGGCAGCATCAGAGGAGCAGGAAAGTCAATGTTTCAAGTCAGGACCCTCCTTCAGGTGTCTGCCACTTCCTCTGGCAGTGCCTTCCACATAAGTGCGAAAAAGTTGCGCTCAGGTCCCTTTTAAATCTTTCCTGATGAAAGAGTCCCGATGAAGGGTCCTGACCTGAAACATCGACTTTCCTGCTCCTCTGATGCTGCCTGGCCTGCTGTGTTCCTCCAGCTCCACACTGTGTTGACTCTGACTCCAGCATCTGCAGTTCTTGCTCTCTCCGCCTTCTTCACCACCCTGTCTACCTGTGACGTCATTTTCATGGAACTACGTACCTGAACCCTTAGAGCCACTCTGCTCAACAACACTTCCCTGGGTCCTACCATTAACTGTGTAAGTCCTGCCCTGTTTTCCCAAAATGTAACACCCACATTTATCCAAGATAAACTCTATCTGCCACTCCTTAGTTCATTGGCCCAGCTGATCAAGATCCTGTTGTACTCTGCGATAACCTTCTTCACTGTCCACTATACCATCAATTTTAGTGTCATCTGCAAACTTAATAATCATGCTTGCTGCATTCTCATCTAAATCATTTATATAATGACAAAAAGTGGACCCAGCACCAATTTCTGCAGGACACCGCTGGTTACAGGCCTCCAGTGCGAGAAACAACCCTCTACCACCCTCTGTCTTCCACCATCAAGCCAATTTTGTATCCAATTGGCTAGCTCTACCTGTATTCCATGTGAACTAATTTTACTAACTAGTCTACCATGCAGAACCTTGTTGAAGTCCTAGCAAAAGTTCATGTAGTCAACTTCTACCGCTCTGCCCTCATCTACTTGGTCATGTCCTCAAAAAATTTAAACAAGTTTTAAACAAGTGAGACATGATTTCCCACACACAAAGCCATGCTGACTATCCCTGACCAGTCCTTGCCTCTACAAATGCATGTAAATCCTGTCTCTTAGAACCCTCTCCAACAACTTACTCACTGTTCAACACCAGGTTATAGTCCAACAGGTTTACTTAAAATCACAAGCTTTCAGAGAGCTGCTCCTTCATTAGGTGAAGTGGAGGGAAGCACACAGCCACAGAATAACAAATCTTTGCAAGTGGATTATTTGTAATTATCTCTCTGCCGTAATTAATCGGTTCATAGGTCATCCCTTCACTTTTTATTCAGCTGTTGACACTTTACTCACACTGCCTGACACTTTTGATCACCTGGAAAGACTTGTTATTCAACCTAAATAAAAACTGAAAGACCTGTGGATGCTGTAAATCAGGAACAAAATCAGAAGTTGCTGGAAAAGCTCAGCAGGTCTGGCAGCATCTGTGAAGAAAAAATCCAAGGGCCCAAACATACCTTCCAGGTGAAGCAACACTTCACCTGCACTTCCCAGAATCTAGTCTAATGCATTCGCTGCTCACAGTGTGGTCTCCTCTACACTGGGGAAACAAAGCATAAACTGGGTGACCGCTTTGCAGAACATCTACATTCTGCTCACAAAAAAGACCTCAAGCTTCCAGTTGCCTGCCACTCAACACATCACCCTGTTCCCTGGCCAACATCTCTGTCTCTGTCTTGCTGTAGTGTTCCAGTGAAACTCAGCACAAGCTGAAAGAACAACACCTCATTTTCCGCTTGGGGACCCTAAAGCCATCCGAACTCCATATCGAGCTCAATAATTTTAGGGTCTAAACTGTCCCATGTCCCAGCCCCCTACCCCCACACCAGGCCTTGTTACCACATAGCCTGCCATTACGCACTACCTATTATTAGTCACTAACAGTCCCCATTAACAGTTATTCACCCTCCCAGCCTGATTGTTATCCACTCCTTTGTCTAACCACCTGCTCTTCTCTCTTCAGGCTCTATCCTTTATCCCATCGTTCTCTCCCTACCCCATCCCCTTCCCTATTTTCTGCATTTAAACCAACATTTTCCCAGTTACTATCAGTTCTGAGGAAGGGTCAGCAGACCTGAAATGTTAACTCTGTTTTTTCCTTCACAGATGCTGCCAGACCTGCTGAGCTTTTCTAGCAAATTCTGTGTTTGTGTTGTTATTCAACCAGTCAACTCTCCACTCACACTATTTGTACTTCTCTGTTGACACTCTTAATTACCTGGAATTATCTTGCCATTATCTCTCTGCATATAAATTCTGTGCCTGTGAACTTCTCTCCACTCCACCTGACGAAGGAGCAGCACTCGAAAAGATTGTGATATTAAGTAAACCTGTTGGGCCATAACCCGGTGCTGCATGACTTCTAATTTTGTCCACCCCCATCCAACGGCAGCATCTCCACATCATTACTCACCATTGATGTCAGACTTCCATTCTATACTTCCCAGGCTTCTCCTTACAGGCTTCCTTAAATAAAAGCACAACGTTAGCCACCCTCCAGTTCTCCAGCACCTCACCCATGGCTGCAGATGGCACAAACATCTCTGCTCTGGGCCCCCACAGTTTCTTCGTTAGCTTCCCACAATGTCTTGGAATACACGCAATCAGGTCCTGGGGATTTATGTACCTTTGTACGCTTTAAGACCTTCATCACTTCCTCTTCTATAATGCGGACTGTTTTCAAGACATCACTATTTATTTCCCCAAGTTCCCTAGTTTCCATGTCTTTCTCCACAGTAAATGCTGATGCGAAATATTTGCTTAGCATCTCACCCATCTCCTGTGATTCCACACATAGGCAGCCTTGTTGTTCCTTAAGGATCTCTAATCTCTCCCTAGTTGCTCTTTTGCCTTTAATATACTTGTAGAATTGCTTTGGATTCCCCTTCTCCTCTCTCAACACCTGCCCACAATCTAATTAGTTTAAAGCCCTCTCTACATCCTGTCCCACCAGAACTTCCCCCTTCTGTTCCAGTTCTGGTGCCAATACCCCACAAACTCCAACAACACTCAAGAAGCTTGACACCATCCAGGACAAAACAGCCCGCTCAATTGGCACCACATCGACAAACATCCATTCCCTCCACTACCGATGCTCAGTAGCAGCAGTATGTGTATTGTCGACAAGATGCACTGCAGAAATTTGCCAAGGATCATTAGACAGCACCTTCCAAACCCTCAACCACTTCTGCCTAGAAGGACAAAGGCAGCAGATTCATGGGAACACCATCGCCACTAGCAACATCCCCTCCAAGCCACACAACTTCCTGACTTGGAAATATATTGCTATTCCTTTACTGTCGCTGGGTCAAAATCCTGGAATTCCCTCTCTCAGGACATTGTGGGTCTACCTATAGCACATGGACTGCAGCGGTTCAAAAACGCACCTCACACCACATTCATTACCACAGAAGGCTGTGGAGGCCAGGTCATTAAGACTGAGATAGATAGGTTCTTGACTGTCAAGGGGATTAAGGGTCACGGGGAGAAAGTGGGAGAATGGGGTGGAGAAACTATCAGCCATGATCGAATGGCAGAGCAGACTCAATGGGCTGAATGGCCTAATTTCTGATCCTTTGTCTTATGGTCTAAATCTTTGAGCCATACATTTAACCCTTTGACCTTATTTACCCAACAGCAGTTTGCCTGTTAGCAGTTTGCTTTTAATGTGCTTGGGTTATTCACAATGTATTTCAGACAACTGAAACTTGTGGGCTGCAAATGATCAATATATGTTTTGTAAATTAGACCAAGGAATATGGAGCTAGAGAGTAAAATGGAATTGAGGGGGCAATCTGGAGCAACCTTATTGTATGGTGGAACAGGACTAAGGAGCTGAATGGCCTTCTCCTTTCCCTGTGAATCATTTTGGGACTGATCCCTGAGTTATAATAGCACGTTTGCATGAATGTGAGGCAGCAACATTCTTATCTGTAACATAAAAGTGACAGGCTAACTGCAGAAATGTCGGATGTGAGAGTTCAGGTCTTTTTTTTTCTCATTCATTCACGGGATGAGGGAGTCACTGGCTAGGCAGCAGTGTCTTCGGGTATGTATCTAGAATATTAATGAAGGTTTTATTTCTTTTAAATTCACAGTTATCTCACCGACAACGATCAAAAAGTTACAAGTCGAATTGCAATTGCAATCTGGGGAGCAATTGATTGCAAGAATCAGTCAGTTGATGAGGACAAGTAACATGAGTAACACAGATTGGTCAGAAACCACAATGCCTGAAGGCAAATTAACCCTTCTGAAATTGAAGAAAAACGCTGATGGAAATGTTCGGTATCAGGTAAATATTCTTTTATATCAGAGATAACTGCTCAACTGTATGACCTTCCTTGATGGGATATCACCCCAAGCGGCAGAAGTGGGTCATCCACTCAGCACCTCTGATGGAAAATACTTGCAAATGCATTTTTTTGTCTTCTGCACTGATATACTGTCTGTTTTTGACAGCTGCCTCCTTTGGTTACTGGTTTAATTGTCTGCTGCAATTTGTGACTAGGTGTGACACGCCTGCAGAACTCTGATCTGATCACTTGGTTCTGGGATCACTAAGCTCTGTCTTTCAATTGCTGCCACTGATGTTTAGCCTTAAGGCAGGCCAGGCAGCATCGGAGGAGCATGAAAACTAATGTTTTGAGTCAGGATCTTTCATCAGGACTGATGAAGTGTCCTGACCCAAAGCGTCGACTTTCCTGCTCCTCTGATGCTGCCTGGCCTGCTGTGTTCCTCCAGCTCCACACTGTGTTATCTCTGACTCCAGCATCTGCAGTTCTTACTATCTCCGAGCCTTAAAGCAGTCTTGTGTTGTCACTAAAGCAGATTGACACCTCCATTTTAAGAAGGACTGAACAGATGACCTGGTGTTGCTCTTGGCAGACTTTGAACTTCTCTTTGAACCACGTTTGATGATGGAGTGTGGGGTAAGCTGGGCCAAAAAATTACTGATTGTGGTCAAATACAATTCTGCTGATGCTAATGGCCCGAGCTCCCTGTAAGTCTAACCCAGACAGAGCAGTGGTCATACAATCCCTCCAGTGTGGAAGCAGGCCATTCAGCCCATCAAGTCCAGACCAACCCTCCAAAGAACATCCCACACAGTCCCATCTCCCTACCCTACCCCTGTAACCCTGTATTTCCCATGGCTACTCCACCTAGCCTGCACATCCCTGGATACTATGGGGCAATTTAGCATGGCCAATCCACCCTAACCTGCACATCTTTGGACTGTTGGAGGAAACCGGAGCACCTGGAGGAAACCCACGCAGACACGGGAAGAATGTGCAATCTGCGCACAGACAGTCATCTGAGGGTGGAAACGAACCTGGGTCCCTAGCGCTGTGAGGCAGCAGTGCTAACCTCTGGGCCACCATCATTCCTACCTACATTATCATAGACTAATGCATCTGTGACAGGTGTATTGTTGATGGCAATTGAAGTCTCCCACCCAGAATGCATTAAAGTCCTGAACAACCTCAGTGCTTCCTCCATGTAGTGTAAGTATTGATTCTTCAGACCAGGCTAGGCAGTAAGCAGCAAGCAACAGGAGTTTTCTCTTACTGGTGCTTGAACGAATGGCATGAGATTAATTTCATGGGGCCCTGAGACAATCAAAATAGAAATTTCTTAAAGAGCTCCCTCACAACCTCTGGTGGATCCATCCTGCCTTTGGGACAGATGAAAGGTAAAGTCACCACAGTATGACCAGACCATTGGGCTGCTCTCCCATTAGAGAGAGAGAGAGACAACTTGTGGTGGTTTCACCTGAGACAGGGAATGGCGATCACCATTTTGACTGCAACGTATGATTCAGTGAGTAAGATCGCATCAGTCTGTTGCTTGACTGGTGCATGATGTGGAGGTTAGACTGGGGCGGACAAGGTCAGAAGTCATGCGACACCAGGTTATAGTCCAACAGGTTTATTCGAAATCACAAACTTTCGGAGCGCTGGTCCTTCATCAGGGTGACGTCACTTGAACTTACCTGATGAAGAAGCAGCGCTCCAAAGTTTGTGATTTCAAATAAACCTGTTGGGCTATAACCTGGTGTCATGACTTCTGACCTTGATTAGTGCAAAGGACAGCTCTCCCAATGTTCACTCAAGTCTCCAGTTGATATGAAGAGGATTCTGCAGGGGTGTAAGTTTGTCTGTATTGTCTCCAGTGTCCAGGTCAATGAGGAGTTGTCCATCCGCTTTTAATCCTATTTGACTCTCTGTCACAGTTTATTATAACTGAGTAGCTTGCCAAATCATTTCTAAGAGCAGTTTAGAACTAGGCTTTTGCACATCTGAAAGCACATATAGGCTAGACAGGCTACAAAAAGCAGAATTCCTCCACTGAAAGACATCAGTGAACCAAACTGAGTTTTTTTTTTAAATGACCATCTGACAGTTTCATCAACATCAGTGCTTTGTATAGCATTCTACTCCAGATTTCTTAGTTAATTAAATTGAAATGAAACCAGTTGTTGTGGGTAGGATTTGAATTCAGTGGGTATTAACCCAGAGCTTTGTATTCATAGAAACATTCCCATTGTGCTACACCTCCTCTGCTCAGGTTGAGCATCAGCAGTCTCTGTCCATTTCAAAAAGTCCCAACAGAATACTCAGAGCTAAATGTCATTGATTAGCTTCATCTCAGGTGGAAGTGTAGACCCCCCTTGTAAAATGTCATCACTTCGACAGTAAGCAGTGGGTCCACAAAGGTTTTAGATACAAAATTAGACAACCCGCTGCTGAACCAGAAACATCAATACTGCAAGTGCTCAATCAGTCAATGGGCATCCTTAGAGAGTCAACCATGGTTAATATTGCAAGCTATCAGAACCTGGTGAACCCACAAACATTACTGAGTTCTTTGAGAAGGTGACCAAACAGGTGGATGAGGGTAAAGCCGTTGATGTGGTGTATATGGATTTCAGTAAAGCGTTTGATAAGGTTCCCCA